AAATTCCATTTCCTCATTCCTGAGAGAAAGCTAATTCCAGCAAAGGCCATTTGTCTTTGGTACCTTAAAATCTAGATAATTTACTGCAAGTTTATTTTTATTGAAAATTATGTAGATATTATTCAGGAACACTATTTCCAACTGTATGGCACATTTGGGCAGATTATATTTTAAGTGTTAATACACATTCTCAAGGTATATACTGGAATGCACATTTCTCTCCCATACTTTCCTCTCTTTTAATAACTCACTGCTTTTTTCCTCCACCTCCTGCACAATGAAGTGTTAGAGAAAGATACTTCTCAAGTGCATATTGTGTTATAAGTTATGAGTTTTTACCATTTGACTGCAATTCAAACTCATGACACTTTATATCGCTTTTATGATTAATTCAGAAATAATTTGCATCTTAATGCATCTTAGGTGTTTAACTTGTGACTCCAATGTGCTTATTTTGAGCTTGGCAGAAGTGCTCCAATCTCTGAAGTGTGTGAACATTTTTTCCTCCCCCCATCACAAGGACCTGAAAAGGATTCAGATGCTACAATAGAACAGCTTTTCCAAACTATTTCTCAAAACCTGAGGACTGAGATGCCTCAGCACACGCGTGTGCACACACGCACACACACACACACACACAGGCTTCCTCAGAACATCTAGATACGAAGAGAACTGTGGTTGTTTCTCTAAAGTTCATAACGCACCTGTGAGAAAGTAAAGTCATTCCAAATGCCTTCCAGAGTTGTAGCTGAGAGACTTATTGAAGCCAAAATATTCCACACTTTTAGAAAATCCTGGGAAAATTATTAACTGCTAGGAAACCACACTTTGGATAATACTGGTGAGGGAAATCATAATTAATGGGCCCAGAAAGAATTGGCCCCCATGGAGACGTCCAGTAAGTACCCATGCGCTTTCCTGAGGGGCTGTGGGGTTAGCCATGTCAGGAGACAATTCTGGACACAGGTTCTGGCACTGGATCATGTCGAAAAACAAATTAATGCACTTTTCGCAGATGATGTCTGTATGAGGTTCCTCCCACTTCCTGTTACTGTGAATCAGGAGTGAGGGAGTCCACTGCGATGAATGGATAAAGAGGTTGTGGTCGGCTCATAGAACAGAATATAGCAAGACGTAAACAGGAATGAGGTACTTGTACATGCTACAATTCAGACAAACCTTGAATGCAATGCACGGAAAGAAGATAGACCCAATAGTTTAGATATTGTATGGGCATATTTATAGGAAATGTCTGAAGCAGGTAAATCCCTGGAGACACAGTAGAGGAATGGCAGGGCCTAGGGGAGAAGCCACTGGGGAGGAAAGCAGAACAGGTCTGGGGTTGCTCCTTGGGGTGATGGAACTATTAGAGCAGGTGGTTGTACAGCATTGTGAGTGCACTAACTGCTGCTTTAGAATGGTTAATCTTACGTGACTTCTACCTCAATTTAAACGTCTAGTAAATGAAAAGAAGCGAGGGAAGCTAGACTGACGGGGCAGGAACACCCAGGAGTGAGGCCCAAGGGAATCCCTGCCATGTTCATCACAGCATCAGAGACGACATACATGAAATTTTCAGGGAATTACAGCCAAAAGTGGTGTTCAGTCCACAGGTGAGGCACTGAGAAGGCAGCAAAGCTGCACCTCCCTGACAGGGCACCTTGGTGTCGGTGACTGTAGCCTGCTGACTCACGCTTACGTCTTTGCTACCAAAAGCAAGTGACCATGAAGCTACTGGAACTTACCTTCCAGAGTTCTTTACTTGACGTGTGAAGGAAAGGATGCACACTTTGCCTGCTGAGATGGGCCAGACCAGGATGCCCAATGGAACTTTCTAGTTTTGTGCCAACCAATACAGCAAGCAAATAGATCATGGCCCAACATGGTTGAGCACTTGAACTCTAGATATTGTAACTGTGGACTGATTTTTTTAACTCCCTCCCTCCCTTTCCTCTTTATTTGTGGTACTGGGGTTGAACTCGGGGCCTCACACATTGAAGGCAAGTGCTCTACCACTTGAGCCATGCCCTGAGTTCTTTCATTTGCATGTTGTTTTTGAGATAGGGTCTCATTAACTTTGCCAGGCAGGCCTTGAACTCACTTCCTTATCTGGCTTAGCTTTATTTCAGTTAAATAGCTAAGATTGGCTGGTGGGTATCATGTTAGAAAGTATATCCAGTGTCATGGTTGAAACTACCTTTAGCCTCACCCGGGCCTATCTGTAATACTAACTTTCCTCTCACTAAGTATGAAATTTGGGGCAAGCTGTTTAACCCGTGAGTCTTAGGCTCCTATCTGTAGACAGGGAATAATGCACTTCCTAGAGCTACTGCCAAGGTGAAATGAGAGAGTGTATGTTAAGTGCCACACCTGGCACTAGCAACCAGCAAGTGCTCTGTGACACCGATAGCTCACCGTTTATCGGCCGTTGAAGCTTTGTGCTCAGAGAGGTGAAGTGACTGTGTTCAGTGTTTGGCATCACATACCCCAAAGGCAGAGGGGTGGGAAGTTAGCCCAAGTGTTCCTATGCCAACATCCATTTGCTTGCTGTTGTAGTGTTTCCTTGGAATTCTAGTGACTAATTTCCTGTCCACCTGGACAATGAGACTTGGAATAAGGAATAGACTTGATTTTTTTTTTTTTTTGCCATAAACTGCTTCCTAAGTATGAGCTGTGCTGGTTTTTGTTGAGATAGAATTTCTCTAAGAATTTGAAGTCCAGGGAAACTTGAAGTAGAGCGATTGTGTGAATGGGTTCTATCTCCATCAAATCTTGTTTCTTGCTTGGGTTGGTTCTAGCTCAGTTGTGGCCTGAACTAAAAGGAGAGACCTCTCTTCTTTGGCACAAAGTCTTCCTGAGGGTTCTGGTGAAGTCAGATTTTTAAGATACTGAGTTACTTAACCAGTCTCAAGTCATGAAGTTCCCTCCTACAGGGGCTTCTTTTCCAATCAGCATAAAGCTTTCTCCCCATCACAGAGAGCCACACTGGCTGTCATGCTGGTCCTGACTCTTAAGAGAACTGAAGCTAGGCTTCATTAACGCAAGCCCAGCAGCCAGCCTCTGGGCTGTAAGTCATCACTGCAGAGGGAGAGCAGGGCTTTAGCATCTCGAGTTGGAAATAAAAAAGACTAATGGGAGGAGGAGATGAAGTTAGAGAGCTTCCACCTGGGCACTTTGTCACGGATGCTTGAGGGGAGAGGGAAGGCCCTTCCTAAACACAGATTGTATAAAAAAAGCAATTAATAATTTTTTAATCCCCTAAAAAATCCACTTGTCAGAATAAAATTCACATGCCTCTTAACACCACATCTCCGGGAAGGGCTTACTTTGCCACCCTCCGAGCTGGCCAATTCTGCACAGCTGCATATAACTGGAACCCTTCATCCAGGACTCTGAGGTCTCTGGCATGCCAGGAAGACAGACAGCATTCCAATTGATCTACCTCCTGTGCCTGAGTTTTATTCTGGAAGTGATCTTGTATTTTCTACCTGCCACACTTTTTTTATTCATTTATTCACATGTGCATACATTGTTTGGGTCATTTCTCCTCCCTGCTCCCCACCCCCGCCTTTTCCCTCCACTCCCCCTCACTTCCAGGCAGAACCTCTTCTGCCCTTTTCTCTAATTTTGTTGAAGAGGAGACATAAGCATAATAAGGAAGACAAAGCGTTTTTGCTAGCTGAGTTAAGGATAGCTGTACAGAGAGATTCCTAGCATTGCTTCCATGCACAAATGTGTTACAACCCAAGTTTATTCATCTCTAACTGATGTTTACACTGGTTCCTGATCCCCTTCTGTTGACCTCTGCTGCTTTAAGGTTTCTGCATTAGTTCCTCTAGAGTGAAGATATCAAAAGCTTTCATGTTTTAGGTTTTCTACCTATCCCCATACCTCCCATATATGCTCTCCCCTTGTCATGTGACCCAAGTCCAACCACATTGCTGTATTTGCCCTAGATCTAAAGTCCGCATATGAGGGAGAACATACAATTTTTGGTCTTCTGAGCCTGGCTAACCTCACTCAGAATGATGTTCTCCAATTCCATCCATTTACTTGCAAATATAAGATTTCATTCTTCTTCATGGCTGAGTAAAATTCCATTGTGTATAATACCACGTTTTCTTGATTGCCCCACTCATTTAATCATTCACATACCCACTAATTCAACAGATACCTTGCAGAGCAAGCCAGCCAAGGTTGGTCAAGAAATACATAGCAACCTTAGGGAGTTAGATTGGTAGAAGGGAAGACCCCTGCAGAACCGCAGCACTCTTTGTCCTGGGGAGAGTGGCAACACCTGGAGAGTCTCCACAAAGCAGTTGTTTTATGAGACTACATTTTTGGAGACCACTTTGAGGAAGAGTCTGAGGTTGCCACAAGACTCAACAGGAAAGAGAAGGAGTCCATTGATGTCTGTCCTAGGGGATGGACACGTATGACCCTTTCACACCCCCTCCCCAGGTTCTCATCTTCTCTGTCTCTGATGAAAACATCTCAAATGCAGCTAGAATTTATGAACCCACACTAGTCAGAAAGCTTTTCTCACTCTATAAGAGCTCATCATATAACTGTTGATGATATGGTGGCACTGTGTTCTGTTGGACTTTGCAGAGCTAAACCCAGCATTATCATCCTCATGGAACATTTTATTCAAAAAAGGACAAAACGGGGGTACATTTCAAGACCTCCTAGAAAGACAGGGTTGAACCCTGTATCTACTATGTTTTTCCTATACACACATACCTAATAAAAGCTTTCATTTCTAAATTAGATATAACAAAAGACTATCTACAACTAATTATAAAATGGAACACTTGCAACAATGTTCTTTAATAAAAGTTATGTGAATGTGGTCTCTTTCTCAAAATATCTTAATGCACTGAAGTTCTTAGCAATCTCAACATAGGGCTGATGTTTTTTATGAAGACAAGAACTTTTACCTTTTCACCTAAAGGAAGTCTTTTTATGGCTTCTCTTTGGTATATTAAAATTGCCAAAATCAGTACCCTAGGAGTTTGGGGTTATTATTAAGTAAAATAAGGATTATTTAAACCCAAACACTGCAATACTATAACAGTAGATCTGATGGCCAAGTTGGTTGGTAAGTGACTGGCAGGTAGGTAGCATATACGATGTGGAAACATTGGACAAAGGCTAACCTATGCCCCAGGTGAAATACAGCAGGACGGTGTGAGATGTCATCACCTTGCTCAGAGTAGTTTACAACCTAAACCCTATGAATTTTTATTTCTGGAATTATTCATTTAATATTTTCTAACAGATACTTAGAAAGTGTGCTAAAATGCACTGATTCTTCACTTGGGCCCACAGGTAACAAAATGCAAGAAAAAAGCCTGCCACCCCTCCTTCATTTTGCATCTATCTCCTTTGTCTTAAAACTTTGGGTCTGTGTCCTGCTTAACTCTGCATGTAGACATGTCAGTCATTCAAGGAGTATCTGTCTTAAAACTCTCTACCTAATCCATCTCATCTCCCTTCAAGGCTGAAGTCACAGAGATGAGAGTAACTGAGGCATCTTGCTGTCAGCTTTTACAATGTCCTGCTCCAGAGACCCAAAAGGCACCTGAAAGTCTTCAGTCATTGTTCTAAAACCGTAGTCCCTTGGTTTCCAGGAACAGCAGAGCCTTGCACACAGATCATCCCATGATGTGATCACTCCCCAGGCCAGAGAAATCATCTCATGGGAGCCAGATTGTCCCCTCAAGCAATAAGGACTTCTTTGGGCCACGTTCCAGAGCTTCATTGTGCGCCCCTCTTATGCCAGTTCTTCATCCGAGGCCGGGCTGTGATGCTTTATCTTTCTCATCTTCCCAAGAAAATGATGATTCAAATTCTTTCCTGCCTTTTCACCATGACTTCCACGTGCTTTCTTTGAGGAGAGTGGACGGACGTGGAGTTGGACCTCTGGTGTAGGACTCCAGTTACACTTTCATACAGTGGTTGACACTGGGGAGCAAAACCACAGGTAAGGGCGGACTTACCCAGGTTATCACTATCATTATAAGTTCTTCCTGATCACACAGGAATCCGGGATTATTTTAGTTATGGTCTGTCAGTGTATGAGACCTGAGCCTCAGAAAGAGAGCCCTCCCTGGAACAAGCAGCCCACTGAACACTTTCTCCACCCTGCTTAGGTAGAGGTTTTTTTGTTTTTGGTTTTTTTTGGAAGAGTACAGCCATCATTTTAAGCATGTTCTTTGTTAACTGTGTAACTATGAAGCCCCTCCCATATGGGTTCATCAGCGTTGTAGGAAAGGCTCCTAGGGGCCATGCAGTTCATATCTCTAGAAACAATTCTAAAGTCCGTCCTTCTGCCTTCCAAATTAGAAACATGTATGGGCCACGCTCTCTGCCTGGTGAGAGTATATTGATGACTACTTCGTTCTGCATTCATTTTTTTTTTTTATTGCCCAGCTTTCTGTCTGCATTTTCATCTATTGCTCTGTCTTGACTGATAGTGTTTGTTTTAGATTTGTGAACTCTGAGAGGGCTGAGGCTGCATGCTTTAAATTGGCTTTACCATGTTGGCACAGTACTTTGTAAATATAAAACCTATAATTCATTCCACAAACGCCTAGCAAGTGGTTAGTGTGGGTGAGGCAGTGCATATCACACACAGCAAACATTCAAGGGGTGGCAAAGATGCTTGCTGTGTTCCCCGGTTGCATTAGTAGCGGAAAGAATGCTGGAGGGACGACATTAATGACCACTAGACTCCATCTCACCTACCAGAAGCTGTGCTCAGTATTTACATCCATTCTAGCAAATCCATGCAGACGAGCAGGGTTTCCCTAACTGTGTCCCTGAGAACCCCAGTCTGGCAGACCACTGATGGATGCTATGTCTGCAGGAGTCCCCAATACCACTCTAGAAAATCACAGACTCCCAGCATACTGTTGTACTCATAGCTAGGATTTATTGCAGAGAGAGGCTAGCATGCAAATGGTTCTCTCACAGGAGAAAGCCATGTCCAGGGGAAACCACCTACAAGCTTCCAAGACCTGCTTCCCACAACTAGATAGGTTTCCGTGTGGAAATGGCATCAGTCTTGTTTAGTCAAACACTGGAGAAAATCCATTACAGGAAAGGACACAAAATTTATGAGTTATTCTTTCCACTTCAGCACTGACATATAATTGTTAACTTAAGTAATACCTCAGACTTTAATCAGAGATACTATGAGGAAATCCTGCTGAGGCTGAGCCAGCCTGCTCAGGATGTGAAACCCGAGGAACACATTTAGACGCAGTTATTAGATGTGGTCTTTACAAACCTGTAATCAACAGGTCATCTGTTAACAAAGTAATTAGACTTTTCATTTGAAATGTAAATCTGAATTGTTTTTCCACGCAGGGGATAATAACCAAGGTTACATCTCAAGCTTTGAGATGAAATTTAAATGTATTTTCAGCATATTAAAAACTAATCTAATTCTTGTTTCTCGTATCACCAGGAAGGTTTTGGGTTTTTTTGTTTTTTTGTTTTGTTTTTTTTTGTCCCAACCAGAATTAGTTCTCATGTTTTTATAATCAAGATCTTAAAGCAGGCTTTTCTTTAGTAATGGAGTTAGAGCTGCATTGCTTTTGGGGGTCACTGGGAAAAAAGGAACCCGATTTCCACCGGGTTTGGGCTAGAGAAGTTTTTATGTGGAAACTTGAAAATAGATTTTCCTATTAGTAAATCATGATTTTCCCCCATTCAGGGAGGTATGTGATCATTTTCTTCCTTGATTACATCCTCCATCTGTGTTTGCAAACATCACGACCCCATCTTAAGCTCACAAGCTGCCTCATTCTGACTCTCTGCCTTGCTGACATGGTAGCACCTGCAATTTGCAGCCTCTTAATCCTATCCCTGGACTAGCGTCCTTCCTCTCTCCACACCTCTCCATGGCTTATTCACCTCTCATTTCTCTTCCTACAATCTTTTAGAAGCAATCGCTAATTCCTGTTTATCTGACACGTGACATACCCTTTCTTGCTTCCATCTGTAGCATCACTTTCTTGGTCCTGCAATTCACCTGAACAGGTGGTTTTTACCTTCTTTGCACCTATATTTCAGCCAGAATTCTAATACTAGATCTGATGCTTCCTTTCTGAAGTCATTGACACTTCCCTACTGACTTCAGGATGAGTCCAGCTGGGGCTCCGCCATCTGCTTCCTTCTTCAGTTCTTTCCCCTTCTGCCCCAGTCATGATGTTACCAGGCTGAGTGGTCTAAGAACACACAAGTCCAAAAGATCTCAAGTTCTTATGTCACCTGAACAGAGAACTGGACAGAGACACAAACTGCAAAACAGTAACAAAGCTTTATTGACAGAAAAGGAAAGAAAGAGGAAGCACCAGAGAGAAAAAGAGGAGGGTAAGAATGGGGGCTAGTTGGACCCTGCCAGGTGGCACGAAAGCATTGATCTCTGTGTTTAAAGACCAGTTAATAAATTGTAAGGTGGGAAAAATCTGGGCAGTCCTTAGGGAGGAGCTAAGGGGGCTGGCAGGTTTAATTAACCCAGCCTTATCACCTAACATGGGGTATCCTGGAGCATGTGCTCACGCTAATTTCTAGACCTTAAATTGTATATATGAGATGTGACCAATATTCATAAGGTCTTAAAGTATAGGACTTTGAGAGGTCAGATTGGGGGCAGGCCTCCCTTTTTCCAGGCAAACCCGTCTCAGAGATATCCCCTTGGACACTGTCTTGCAAAGATATTTATAACCACCAGGGTATTTACAATTTAAAGGGGATTTATTGCTCTAGAGATGGTTCAGCCTGGTGCTGGGGGAGTAGTGAAAAAAAGTCCAGCATGGGGATATCTGCTTAAGAGAAGGGAATCCCCTTGTGGGAGGTTATTTTCCCCACTGCTAGCTAGCCTGCCTCACTCACATACACCTCATCTGCTCCTGCTATGCTGACCTCCTCATTCCCCTATTGTACCTCTCTGCCTCCGTGCCTTTGCACATCCAAGTACAGCTTCAGGGCAGGGGATGGGCATGGATTTAGAGGTGATGCTGAGAATGTCAGGAGTCTAGCTTTTGACCGGGGAGGGAAAGGGGGGAGGCACTTCAAGATCTAATTTGGATAAAGGAAAGATGGGGCTCGGTAGCTTATTTAATTTAAGGTTTGGGGGTGGGGCAGAGGCTGTGGATGCTTGTTCTGCCTGGGCGTCATGATCTCCAGGCTTGGGGAGCATAAGCTTCCATCCTGGGCCTCCGGTGCAGAGCTGTGAAGAGCTAGAATTGTGCAAAGCAGATTTAAAGACTGGGTGTCTGCCTCCATGTGGACACACCTCACTGCTGTGTCACCATCCCGTTACGCTGCATTCTGCACACACCGTCACGATTTTTATTTTAAAAACTGGGCACAGTGTCTGGACAAATTTGTTACACATGGGTGCTGCAATTCAGAATTGGACCCCCCCCTCATTAAATCATCCTTAACACTTGGTTTCTTATTTATTTTCCTGTGGGGGGATGGAAAGCCAGTATCTATCATTTTTAATGCTTTGGTTTATTTGAAGTTTAATTGTAGATACAAGAATTAGCTTTCATTTTTCTGGCATCCACCCTACCCATAATTCTAAATCTTTTTAATGGCAAACCCAACAACACTTAGTATTGAACCCGGAAATCAAGAGGCATAAATGCTGTATCCCCTGGCTGCCAGTTAGTGAATCATCACATGACACAACAGGTGCAAGAGCGACGGTTCTTAAGTGTCACCTGGGAGCTAGAGTCTTCAGTTCCACTCATCTCTTCAAGCTTCATTTCTGACGTCCAGAGAACACAGGGCTGTTGGGTGGAGGAAAGCGGAGGGGGGGGGAGAGGAGAAGGCAAAGTGACTCTGGAGGGGAGGACTGAGGTTTCCTGATCAGCTGGGTACTCCTGGGATCAGAGGCAAGGGCAGTGACAACAGAGAGGCCACTGGTTTTGCTCTACTCACAACTCCAAAGGCTTCCACAATGGGGACAAGGGCAGGAAGGGGACAGAAGTCATGCTCAGGAAGGGAGAGAAGAATGGGCACATGTTTGCACACAGGTGAAAGAAAGAACAAAAGCAGGGGAAACACAAAAACCTGACCCTCAGCAGCGGTACTGTTCAGGAGTGGGAGAGTCTGTAAGAGGTGTGTGTAATGAAGCCCTGGCTGGCTGGCTCTCTAAGCTTGTCAGAGATCTCGTCTAGATCAGCAGCCCCATGTCACCAACAGGAAGTACTGCCCTGTGCAGGTGTAATTGTGTCACACTAGAAATTGCAAGGGAGCTAAGGTTCAATCAAGAAAACAGATCCAATGTAGCAGATCTCTTTTCCTGTGGCTTCTGTGACATGGACATTTCTGTTCCCTTCCTGCTCCTTGGAAAACCTTATAGGGCCTCCCTCAGACTCCCTCCTTTCCTTTCTCTCCTGCTGAACCTTGGCAATCTCAATCCCACCCTAGTTTCATCACTACTCACCACAGGTGATTGTCCTGCTGAACACAGAGGTGTTCCCTGGAGTTCAGTGTTATCAGCTGCTCTCCTGGATCATTCCCAGATGAATGTCTGATGTTTCCCCCCACCCCCACCCTGCCCCAGGTTTATCCAAAAACTGAACTCAACACTTACTTTGTGCCCTTAATTTTTTCAAGGAAACTACACTGTCTTTTATCCTTTGAATCTATAACCCCTCACCCTATACCTTGTCCTCAGGGACTATACTATAAGTGGTGGTCTCTAGCCTGACTGTTGGGAACAGATTTGAGCAGGAAAATAATGTCCCAAGTGCAGGGTACCCCAGAGTTCTCCCGCTAGCACACCAATTGCTCTGTGCTGGACATTGATCTTTGTGTTCTTACAGCTTGATTTTCTTTAGCAGGTTATATGCCAACAGAACCTGCTTTGAGCATTCATTGATCAGACTAAGAAGGAAGCCCTGTGTCCTGCACCCCAGGGGTCAATGTGTTAGAGCCAACTCATCCCAGCTCTCACGTGAT